CTTTTGCTACAGCATGGATGGACCTGGAGGGTATTATGCTAAGTGTAAATAAGCCAGTCAGAGAAAGACAAATACCATATGATTTCGCTTATATGTGGAATCTAATGAACAAAATAAACTAATAAACAAAATAGAAACAGACTCATAGATACAGAGAACAGACTGACAGCTGTCAGAGGGGAGGGGGGTTGGGGGCTGGGTGAAAAAGATGAAGGGATTAAGAGGGGAAAAAATAATAACAGACACAGACAAGGGTATGGTGACTGCCGGAGGGAAAGGGGGGGTGGGAAGTGGAAGAAGGCAAAGGGGGGATAAATGGTGGCAGAAAGAGACTTGACTTAGGGTTGTGAGTGCATAATGCAGTATGCAGATGATACGTTACAGAGCTGTACACTTGAAACCTACATAATTTTATTAAGCAATGTCACCCCAATAAATTCAATAAGAAAAATGTAAAATAAAGTGCTGTGTCTTGCTCAAGGATCAAAAAAACTGATTTTTCAAACAGTTAACTGTTGAATTTCTTCCTTTTACAGCTACTAGCGTTGGTACAAATACACTTTTATTCCTAGTAGTATTTATTGAGTATGTGTATATTCCGTCTACGTTTCTGCATTCACTTATATAAACTTGAGATAACTCTATGACGTAGGTGACTTTATTAATCCCATCTACTAGATAAGAAAAAGAAAGGACAGATTATCTGTCAAGGCTATGCAGCTATCAAGTATTGTAGTTGTTTAATGGCCATGCTATTCTGATCTTTTGGAAAGGAAAATTAATGTATTTTAAAGATACATTTGAATACTGAAAAGAAACTGAGTTTAGAGTATATGAAATGATTTTTTTAGGGTGTCATGCAATTGATTTGCTTATAAATAATGAAAAAAATCTAAAACATAGGTAACAGGAATGCAAACTAGGTGAATCTAAAGTCACAAATAATCATGGAACAAGGTAATTGGATCTCAAATGATACTAACTGCAATATTTTGAATGAGCAAGGTAAGACTTCCACTTTGCCGAAGTCAGATCACATACCCAAAGGCTTTTATTCAGTTTGGTTTCCAGTTTTAAAAGCAATACAGGGAAGCCATGGCAAACTGCAGCCAGCATAATGTAGTGGTTAGAAATGTGGGCTCAAGAATCGGATACCTGGGGTCAAACTCAAGCTCTTCTTAATCACCATGAGTTTTAGCAACTTCCTTCCTCTCTCACTGCCCCTGTCCTCTCACGGGGATACCAGCGGCGGCAGATTTTACCAGGGTTGTTGGGAGGGTTTGATGAGATCAAACATTAGTAAGATACATGATAAGGACTGAATGAATTTTAACTATTAATATATTCAAAGGAGGAAGTTGACAATAATGATTGTCAAAATATTATGCAAGAAACAAATGAACAGAATTTAGAGGAGAGTAACTCAGTTTCCATGGCCTCTAGAGTCCTAGATTTCTAAATCTATCCAGGAATTAATGTAAAATAAATCCCAGCTCAAAAGATAAAGAACTTTGTGAAAATTACAGCTTCCCAAAGACAGAATGGGCTCTTCAGAATTAAATATTTACTTAGACATATTGCAGGGGAGATTCATAGAGTCTTGGTTAAGATATCCTTTATGGTTCCTTCAAAATTTGAGATTCTATGAAAATAAAAGTGACCTTAGAAAACCATATGAAGCAATTGCTCTTCTTACTGCAAAAGTCTGTTTAGTAGAGATATAAGCAAACAATTTCTAACTGCTTCATCCTTAAAGCCTGAAATTTTCTATAACTTCTAGCCCACATTGATCCTTCAATTCCCTAAACTACAGAATTCTTGAAAAGAAAATGTTTACAGTTGTAAAATATTTAGTCTAAAGTTATCTTTAGCTCTTTCAATTGATTTTTTTAAAATTCCAAACTAATTACCAATGCTGAGAGGCTATAGATCATATATTAAATTGTTCTTTATACCTTATTATAGTGCTTGGCACATTGATAAACAAAGGAGTAGCTGCTCAGCAAATAGTGATATTCTGTTCAAACTCACAGCATGCTGTTTACCAGGAATCTCAATATAAATCCAAGAAGCTTGTTTTGAATAACTGCACTTTACTCATGGACCCAAAAGCTACAAAATGAAATTAGCAAGGCATTTCACAGGTAAAGATATGTCTAAGTGCTCAACATTGGCACAAAGGATAACAGTTTCAATAGATTTACTTACAGACAGGTCCTTTAGCAATGAAAAAGACATGTTCAGAAATGTTCCATTTTGAGAAATCTGCAAGCCTTAGCAGTAGCAGTTTTTCCCACACCAGAAACACAATCCATGTAGCTTTATTCAAAATTAAGCTTTTTAGGGTTATAAACTTTGAGTAGTAAGATGAATAAATTCTGAGGATCAGATGTATAGCATGGTGACTACAGTTAATAATACTGCACTGTATACTTGAAATTTGCCAATAGAGTAGATATTAAGCATTCTCACTAGGAAAAAAAATGTAAAAAAACTATGTGATGTGATGAATGTGCTAATTCATTTTATTGTGGTAATCATTTCACAAAGTATATATGACATATGTATATATGACATATATCATAAGACTGTATATATTAAACAACACAATTTTATTAGTCAATTATATTTTAAAAATTAAACTTCATTTAAAAATCTGCACTCTAGAATGCTTATGGTATTGCGTTTTTGTTGCATAACATTTATTTTAGAATTAGAATAATTTTTTTCATTTCTACCCATAATATGTAAAGAACTATTACATCAATTGGTATAATAGAATGATTACATATAATTCAGCCTGTAGATTCCTTTTGTTATTTCTTTGTATAAAGTCACTTTCTGTTTATGAGCCTTGTTCTACAAAAAATAAAGTTAAAATTTAACTATGCCTCTTTAACTTCCAAAAAAAATGGAGAAAGAACTCTCAACATAATCCATTTAAACTTGTCTATTTGAACTTCTGAACCTTTAAAAGATGAATCTGTTTTGAGTCACAAAGAAACAGATTTTTTCAGAGTTTTAACTTAGTATAACATAAAGGCCAAAGAATGCATAATTAATTATATTAACAAATAATTGCATTTTTCTCTCATCTGTTATAGATGAGAGAGATTACAATCTCAGATAAATCAAGATATTAACCCTTTTTTTTAAATCTTAAGACCAAATTCTCAGAAGTACAGAGCTCTCCTAAGTCAGAATGTCTGGATTTGAATCCAGGATCCATCATTAAGTAAACTTTAGCCAAGTTTCTTGCTCTCTCTAAACTTCAGTTTTCCCACCTGGAAAGGAGGTTTTACATGATCTTAAAATTATGATCCTTTATTGACATAAAGCATCTAAATCATTTTGAATTTATACTTGGCATATAGTAAGCATTATGTAACTGTTTTAAATTACTGTACATTGGTAGCATCTGCTTGCTCATAGTCCATTTTATGATAATAGCTCTGGGCAGGCAAACAAACCATTTAAAGAACAAAATGTAAAGCAGATTTTCTCTACCAGGGGCTTTCCTGGTGTCCTAACTCTCCACAGAATGTGTTATCCCTACAAAGGAAAAAGAATGGACCCCAGAGCTTCCATTGACGGGGCCCTTTCCCGTGTGGCAGGGATGGCCAGCTGGGAGTCGGGATTATGATGTGTGGCCATGTTTCTGATGCTCCACAACGATATGGTCTAAAACTATGGTACGGAACAAATCAAACCAAGACCTATGAGGTACAGATCCATATAATACTGCTTTCTAAACCAGTGGTTTCCAAAATCAAGGGTGGGGGGAAACTGAACATGCACCCTGCAAATAATATACAATTTATGTATATGACCTAATGTACTGACAAAGTACATTATGAAACATTCTGAAAAAAGGTTAACAGCGGGCCTGAACCAGCCTCCAAACACTTTCCTGGGAACATTTGGGATTAAGATAAGTGGGGAATGCCAGCTGCGTTACCAGGCAACATTAGTTATTACTGGAGGAGTGCATCTGGAGCAGGGGACTGTGAGTGAACTACGAAACCGTTCTAGACGCACAGGCCTCAGCCCCCTATGTGCGGCGCATACTTGCGCCTGCGGGCATCGCTTGAGGAGGCCCGGGCTGCTACCAAGATACCGCTCCTATGGGCTGTGAGGCTCACCCTAAGGCAAAGTGGTCCGGGGGTAGGGAAAGGTGATGGCAAATGGTTCCTGAACAATAACAGGGACTCCCACTGAAGAAGCACCTGGCATTATCCTGTTGATATGCTATGTTTCCTGTCCTGCATCCTTCTACTAAACGAAGTGAATCCGATACCAAACAATGGCCTACTGTGTCATATCAGTGGGAGTGTCTAAACAAAACCACAAGTCCACTTTGGTGGTCATGCAGACATATGCATACAAAAATATACATTATTTTCTTCCTCTGACCTAATGCATTATTGCAAGCACCACACTTTTGAGAACACTGCTTGGGTCCACATACTTTTCAGAATTTTGGGGGTACATTCTTTATAACAAGCTTAAGATTCTTTCTTCTTCCCCCTTTGTGACCTTCTATTTTGACAGATCATGTTCTTTGGTCATTGTAAATCTTCGACTTTCTCTGCAACTACTATTGCCTCTAGGTTTTTTTAAACGAAAAACTGGTAACTCCATCATTACAAATTCCGCAGCAGTGAGACATAAGGAAATCCTGAAAATACAAATACTAAAATATCTTCTGGAAGTTTTTTACTTCTTGCTTTCTTAAAGAAGTTATCAGGATATAGCTATATGGAACTTTAAAAAGTATCACATTGTGGGAGAAATAACTCTTTCAATTTTAATATGCTTTTATACTAGTTCCATTAAACATGCTATGCTAAAAATAAAATTATTTCTTCCATTCTTGACACTGCCTCAATTCCAAGTAACCAAATAATTTTACCACTCCTTATGAAAATTCCTGCAGATGTATCTTTCATTACCCCATTTTTAAGGCACCCGTGGTTTTAAAAATATTTTTTATAACTTACCCTGAAACATGCAACATCAGCAGCATGTAGAAGACAAAGAAGAGATTATGAGTGTACCAGAAGATGTCATAGTTAGAAACTCTGGAAAAACAAATAACAGTTTCAATGCCACTTCCTTTCATCTCATGGGAAAAATTGTGCATTTCAAACACACTGAGTTCAAGTGAGATGCATCTATTATACCAAAGGACTTAAATACCATGCAGAGACAACTGACAAAAATTACACATAACACAATCATTTTCTTTTCTTTTTTCCGGTATTTGAAACAAAGACACGTGAAAAAATAAAAATAAGGTGTTTATTTAAAGTTATTATGATGTAAGGCTGAGGAACAGTTATAGTCTGCTCATATGTACACTTGCTGTCCTTTCTATCAGTAGTCTCAATTTTCAAATGATTTCCAAAACAACTAATGCTCCTATTCCAATAAATATTTTGAGAGTAGTTTAAAGGGAACTCAAATTGAGAGAAATTAAATAAATGCTCATTAAAGTCTTATATTCTATTCCTGGACAGTGTATAACTTAAAAACAACACCTTGGTATTACTGTCCTGCAGAACAGAGTCTGAAAATGACAGAATACGATAAATACAATCTATAGAATGTTTGAGAGAAGTAAAAAAACTAACAGTTATTTTATTTTATCTCTCTAGGTGGATATTACTATATTAGAATCTTAGAGGTGGAGGGCAGATATTTGTAAAAGCTTCTGAGAGGATTCTGATCCCACTTCTAGATCCTTTTGGAAGCCGTGACTCAAGCACTGGCCAGTGGATTCCCATTCACTCCACTCAGTTTCTGCTATAATAAACAAGGTCATTAACATCTTTGTCACAGATGCCTTTTTTTACATATCCAACTCTTTTATAATCTAAACTCTTCTAAGTGGAATTGCCAGATCAAAGGGCACACATTTGCGATGCTTTTGACACACATTGCCCATTGCTCTCTGAAAACATGTTTACCAATTACAAATCCAACTTTAGGAGTGCCTTTTCCCCTAACCCAGGCTCCACTTGATAGGTTTTCATTATTTTGTATAAGTGGAATTGGGTATCATTTCATTTGTGTGTTACACACCTTTAATTCTTCTATTACTTACCTATTCATATTAATTACCCATTTCTATAGTGAATTTTCCTTCATTGTTCTGAGTAACCTATTCAAATTTTAAGACTGTACTAGTTCCACATAATTGTAATGATTTGTCAAATAAAACGTTTACATTTCAATCTTTATAATGTACATTGTTTTAATTTTCCTATTTTCAGAAAGTCAGATATTTTCTATATTTTTCCCTGTCCATTAGGAGATCTGATAAATACGCACTTGAAGCTTCTTCTAAATTTATAATGGTGTAATTTTTTTTAGTTAACTCTGTAAATTATCTTGAATTCCATTCACTTACACTTTATTCTCATCATAAGTTTGTGATGGCACCTTTATTATTTAGCAGGTTCATATACACAGCGAAGTCCCTTAACAAGGTTTTCTATCAACTCTATCAATGGTTCCATGTCTTGGGGTCTTTTTTTTTTTGCAAGTAAGTTCTATCTGCTTTCAGTTATGGAAGTTTAATCATTTTAATGTTTACTAGCCACATACCCCCCTTTACTCCTCCTTTGGAACATGTGCTTGGAGGTTCCTCAGATGAGCTTTAGGATCACTTTGCCAAATTCAATAAGCAAACAAACAAAATAACCTATCTTGGGTTTTGACTGGAATTGCAACGAACTTATAAACAATTGAGGAAGAAGTTCATCTTTGCATTATACAGTCTTTCTTCAAATCTCTACTCATTTCTCTCAGTGAAGTTGTGTGTTTTTTCTATATAACTTTCACTCAGTTTCTTCCTAAACTTATTTACAGATATTTTATGTTTTTGTTGCAATTATTAGTGGTATCTTTTTATTTTATTCAGTTTTCAAACTGATACTAGCTATTATATAAGAGCTATTTTTAAATATTTGTTTTGTACTCATTTACCCATTTCAATTCTTTAAGTGGATATAAAACTAATTTTTTTCCATAATTCTCTTGGATTTTCTGGCTAGACAATTACACTTACCTTTCTGGAAGTAATGATAATTTATTGTTGCATTCTTTTTAATAATTTTAAATGTTTTAATTTCTTATCATATGTAAATAATGGCATCCTTTAATGGAATTAAAAATGTCACTTTGGCTTTTTCATAATTTTCTTAGGAATGTATCTCATGTTTCACTGGTAAGTATGATCTCAGTTCTGGCTTTTATATTTTTTAATTCTATAAAGGAAAGTGACTCTTAGTTAACTCTGATTATTTTAATCCAGAATTAGAGTTTAGATTTAACAACTGCCATTTCAAAGTCTACTGAGATGAGAAAATGTTAATATTATTGCCATTTGTTAGTAGAATATATTACTTATTTTAATAATTGACCCATATTGAACCATTAGTGAATTATTACACTACATTCAATGCCAGAAATCAAATATTGAAGTCCTATTTATTCACCTGATTTCTCTAATGTTTTACTTTCTTACTAGTAAAGAGAAACGGTAGAAGAAGGTTACCTCCATGATCCATATAAGAATTTCATGATTCTCACAATGAAGTTTGGAGAAAAGCAGAATTAGCTTTATAATCTCTTTTAAACAAATGAAAAAATTAACAGTTAAGACAGTCACCAAATTATTTATGTAATGGCTCAGTTGAGAACAGAAGCTGATCTTTATAATCCAGTTTACATCAAGAATTCCTAAAACTGAAAAAGTAAGTTTTTTAATGAATTATTGACCTAACTAAAACAAAGTGTATCCCACAAAATTGGCGCCCTAGTGCACTAATGTTAGAGATTTGCCTTTCTGTAAGGTGATTTTTAATTCTTATAAAAAGTCATAAAAATGGGCTTACCATTTGATCCAGCATTCTCCATCTAGGTATTTTTCCATAGGATGTAATTGAAAAAGTATGCAAAGACATGTGGACAGGGTGTTTGCTTCACAATTGAAATACTAAAAAATGGAATCCACCTAAAACATCCAATGACAGGGGGCAAGGAGACTACTGTATGTCTACATGGGAATATGTTGTACCATCAGTAAAGAGAGAAATGTTCATAACAAGATGTAAGGAAAAAGTGGACTTAAAAATAGTACATATAATATGGTCCAATTTTGGTAAAATACATATAGACATGAAGAAACAGAGATCGGGAGTGTGAAAGGGATAGAAAGAGTGATTTTGGTAGAGGTAAGACATGGGGCATGAGTGAGCAAAGGCAGGAAGAATGAAGCATATAAACATACCACCAGGAAATTTATAGTGTTAATCATGCGTGGTGAGCTTACTTTTGACATTTTCGAGGTGTGTGTTTGTGTGCAGAGATGTGTTCAGAAGTGCAAAGACAGACTCATTTGAGCATGGTGTAGGGCAATTATTTTCAAAAGGTGTGTGTGTGTTTCCATTACATTTCACACCTCAACAATTAGAATGACTATTTTTGAAGATTACACGTTGTTTCTCCTTTTTGCTTTCTTAACCAAGAAGTTTCACCAGTAACATAAGATACTGTAAAATATTGTGACAAACAGATGTGTCCACCAGAAAGAACATGTGAAAGTGTTCATAAAACTGTGTCTGCAATTGCTCAAAATCTTGTAACTAAAAAAATAAAGTGAATGCAGATATTTCCAAATATTTTAACAGATGTCAACTAACCATGTTTCCAAAGCTTTGTCTGGAATATTAAATTACAGCAAAACAAACTTATATCAGGAAATGAGTTATAAGACAATTTTAAGTGATATGTTCTTGTGTATACACGTTGAATTCAATCCCATGTCTCATAGAAATACACAATCCTCCAGAAGTATGCCCCTGAAGAACTGAAATTTCCCTAGTTTAAAAAGTCTCCATACACGATTCCTTACCAACCTAGACTATTTGACTAAAACAAAGAGATTTTCTTTTCAAAAACAGGAAATGAAATGATATATATAGAAATGTCTTTACATCACTCTTAGTTACCCACAATAGTCCATTCATCAGAACACTGCATTGGCTAAGCATTCTGGTTAATCAAGAGTTTTTCTACACATGAAAACGAAGATAATCTGAAGGAAATTTAAATAAGCTGACCAGTAAATATTGAAATCGTGACTCTGACACTCACCGGATAGCATATGTAGAAGCTGTAATCATCAGGAATAGCACCAATACCATGAGGACTCCTGTCAGGCCAGGAACTATAAAAATATACAAAGTACATTTTAACTTAAGTCATACTGAGAAAAAAGGTACAAAAAATTATTGCCTTAAAATCCAAAGTATTATGCTGCTCTGTGGAAAGCCCAATTCAAATCACATATCTCCTTGTATGTTCTCTCTCAAAAAAGCTTTTTTTAAAAAAAATTAGTACAATTTCAAGGTACTTAAGACAAAGCAGTCCTTCCTACCTTTAATAGAAGAATTTGTTCTTGTATTTTCAAATAGTCTATTCAGAATAGTGAATATGTACATATTTATACAGGTACATGTTATACCAAATGTCAGTAATTAATACATGGGACAGGATTGGCATTCAACACCCTTACTGGTTTGGTTACCCCTACCATAGTACTAAACTCCATTACTCTTCCCCCCTTTTAAGGAACTAACAGCTCCTTCAGTTTTAATTTCAAATAATTTCTTTTGGGCTTCTTATACATAATAAATTTTTTTAAATAAACAAAACCTAAAGCTTCCTAAAAACCACAACTTCAAGTGCAGAACAAAAAAATACTGGGTTTCAAGAAAAAAATGACAGTGCTGATATTTTCAGAAAATTTGTAGAAATATTTCTTCTAGTAGAGAAAACATGCTGAAATTAGTCCTTCTGATATGACATAACATTTATTTTTTTAAATGTGCAAACATGTTAGTTCTCAAAATTAATATTGACATGACATATTGCTACAAATCCAGTGTTAGCTCATACAGCACGTACAAAATGAATAGCTCATGTACTATATTAAAAAGAGCCAAAAATCAAAATAGTCTCATTTCTTAATATCTTTTTACTACCAAATAAAATATCCCATCTATAAGTTACCTTTATTTACTCCTAAAATCATATAAGCAACAGTAACTTCTAACTGCCCTAGCTGAGAGATTTCATCTTAAATCTTCATAGGAAAGCTAATAAAACAATTCTGTTTCCAAACGTATAGACATCTCCCCACTTCTCTGCTTGCCAAGGAACCACCTATGAGACAGAAGGGTCATCATGGACTGTAAGCCAGGAGCAGAAGCTGACAAGCTGGGTCCAACAGAAGAGCAATCTGGGTGTGCACTGTTAGGGTTCCAGAGAGTTTTGAATCATTAAAAAAAAAAAAAAAATTAGAATGTAGAACAAGTTTCTACATGTAAAGGGCCACATGAGAAATACGGGAGTTAGTCATTGAATATTTAATACTTTAGTGCTCTTTCCTGCTCCCTCTTCCCAACACACAAAGTTGGGAGCCTAACACCACTTGCTTTTCCCCAATGTGCCGAATCGGAACCATCTCTTCTCTCCACTTCTTTCCCAGGGCACCCCTTCCCATCATCTGTCCCATTGCCCCGGGTGAGGACTTGCTTCTTAGGGGTAAGAGAGGAGCAAGATAACTACACTAGTTCACACTAAAAGACTAACAGTACAGAAAAAAACTACTTAAAAAGAACAGCATGCTTACAAAAGGACCCAGCCTTCCCACTCCCGAGATATTTACCCAAGAGAAACAAACATATATCCACACAAAAACATGCTTAAAAATGTTTATAGCCACTTTACTTTTAACTAATAGTTAAGGTCTGTAAATAAGTTAAATCTCCATCAACAGTGGCATGGATACATAATCGTGGTATTATTATCTGTACCTGGAAAAGTAATCAGTGATTAAAAAAAAACATGAACTGTTGATATACACACAACAACATAGATGAATCACAAAACTATTAGGTGAAGTGAAAAAAGCCAGATCCCCTAAAAGGACATCCAAAGAGCATAAGCTTTGACTCCTTTTATATACCATTCAAAAAGCATCAAACCATTCTTTAGTGATAGAAAATAGATTAGCTGCTAGGAGGGGTAGAGGGTAGGATGCATTATAAAGGAATACAAAAACTTTTTAGGCCCTGCCGGGCGTGGCTCAGCGGTTGAGCACCGACCTAGGATCTAGAAGATCTAAGTTCGATTCCCGGTCAGGGTGATCCCCAGTCGGGGNNNGGGTATGCAGGAGTCAGGTGCTCAGTGACTCTCTCATCATTGATGTTTCTATCTCTCTCCCTCCCTGTCCCTTAAAAAAAAAAGAGAAAAACAAAACTTTTTAGAATGATGGATGTTTGTTATCTTGATTTAGGTCATGGCTTTACATGTGTAAACATATGTCAAAACCAATAAAGTAGCATAATTTACATATGCACAATTTAATGTTCTTCAACTATAACTCAATAAATTTGAAGGAAAAAAAGAGGAGGTTTCTCTAGCTTCAAGTAATTAAAAAACTGACCAAATGATAAACGATAGACTACTAGATGGCTCCATAATGTGAAATTGGTAGTTGAAGGCCTTTCCAGTGATTTTATTAGAGATTCATTGATGTCTGCTGTGTCTACATACACGGTTTCCTATGTGGTTCTAGACATGTCAAGATTAGTTATGGACTCTTTGCAAATCACTTCATCAAGAGGATGCCTGAAAAAACTGAGTATGTTTAAAATAGAGGCCTAATTTCCAAAGTGTATCATTTGAACATTAATTTACAAAGTAATTTGTAATTTACAAAGTAATAGACGTGAGGTCAGTGAAAAAAAAAATACATACTTAGTATTAGAAATAAAAAAAAATATTGCAATTAATGTGATCCAAAAGAAGGAGTGGGGTGATACCTTAAGAAGTTACAATTTTCTGTCACTGGAATTAAATAGAGTCTGGCCAGCAAATTACCTAGGATGTTGTAGAGAAGGCCTACGCATCAAGCAGCAGAGTTAAACGAGTGGCTTTTATCCTTATATATTGCCATTTCTAGCTGAGTATTTTCTGGGCATCTATAGCACACTGTTAAGTGCCAGAGGAAAAATGAATCCTGCTCTCCAAGGGATCCCGTTCTAGTCTGGGAGACAGGATACACAGGTCCTTGCAACACACGGCATTATGCGCTAATGGAGAGCTAAGCATTGTGTGTTTTAGAGGTACATCGAAGGGTACCTAACCTAGCCCGAAATGACAGCTAAATCCGAGAATATTACCCTCTGTTCCTACACATATTCCAACAGTCAGGAAGCACAGGTTGGAAATTCCTGGGCTAGTGAACCTCACTGGGCAGTTACTTGCCAAAGGGAAGCACACTGTGAACACTTTAAATCCTTCAAGTTATGAAGCAAAACCTGTACTTGTTTCCTTAGAAAAAGCGATGCTTAAATGTTTGCTCTCATTGCCTTTCATCTATGCATATTAGATTCATTAACTATAGCCTTTAAAATGAATAATTTCACTATATTGCCATTTCTAGATGAAAATGAGAGATCATTTTCATCCATACCCAGATGCAGTCAGAAATATAGCATCTTGTATTCATTACCCTGTTTTTTCCAACATAACTGGAACCACAATTATATTTGTTTACGTGGGTTTTTCTCAGAGAAATTGGATATTGCGCATTTTATTGTCATCATATAAGGTACTACCAAATTTGGCGATATGTAATAAGTATTTTTAAATGAATGTTTGAGTAATCCAACCTTCCAAACTTAATTTACTTCTTAAATTCTTAATTGGAATTTTTTTTTAACATTTCTTATTCAATGAGTCTACCTACCATATTTTATGTCACTTGTATTGCCACAAGCTTTATTTTCTATAACACAATCTTAATTTCTCAGACCTAGGTTATATTGAAAAAATTTTAAAGACTGAAAGAGAGAAGACTATGTTATATTAAACAAACTAAAATCCAAGAAACATATCAATCAATAACAAAATATTATTTATTACTAGAACAGCTGAAAGCATGCATGCATTCCTTCATCATGAACACTGATTTTTCCTAGGTGTTATGCCTGACAACATTCAAAGATAGCTATAAAATAGTGTTAGTCACAGATGTATTAGTAAAACGAAACTAGGTTGTCTATTTGTAGAAAACAATGTCACTCATCCCATTACTATCCTTAGATTCTGCTTTGTTCTCTCACCTGCTATATCCAGTGGGTTCAACCAAATACCCGAGGAGCTCTAGCTTCATAGTTTGGGGGTCCCACCCTCATGCCAAACTGAAGACCTGGGAAGTGGATGGCTCTTGCTTTCATTAAATGATGTGGACTGGGCCACCAAAATAATGCTGACATGCTGATTTTGGGTGATGCAAGTGGTTTGTACTGACGAAGTCCATAAAAATATTCACCTGGAGCCTTGCATGCCCACCCTGGAAAAGCTCATATTCAAGTGGAAAAGACAGTATATGTAAGGAAATAAATTATTTGACAACATAGTATTTTCACTATGTATCTTTAAGATCCCAGACGAAGAAGAGGCCAGCTCTGCCTGGTGGAATCAGGGAGACATTTGTGCAAGTCAGCTGAGACTTAAAGCAGGAGTTGACCAGGTAATAAAAAGATAGTAAGCTAAGGCAGTAGGCAAAATATAGGTGGCAGTGAGAAGTTATGCTCAAGAGTATGATAAGATGCTCCTTAAGGGTAAAACAGAAGCTCCCAAGATAAATGGAAAGGTTAATAAAGCACATTGCCATGTCCCACCAGAGAGACTCTCTAGGAGGGAGCCAGGAAATTTCTGTTTTTAAGTGTCATCTCTACTTAGTCCAACATCACTCATGGGAATCTCTGGGAAAGGACAGAGCTGATGGGGTTTCATGCTTAGGTGGAGAAACCATCTGTTTATATAGAAGTTAATTATACTAAGTTTCTTAATGTAATATCTTTGTCATATAAGAAATGTTTTGTAAACTAAACTTTTTTAAACATTTCAAATGTTCCAAGGCTTCAACTATACTGTGTGCTGTAGAAAATAATATCAAAACAAAGTTCTTATCTATTTCTCTTAAATTAATTCATATGAACCAAAAAATACATTGATTTATACATATGATTTTATGTTTCTGCTTTTTCTCTCCTCCATTTCTCATTGAATTCTTTTAAGGCTTAACAGAACAATGTTTTCAATGAGCAAAGTTGTAAACAAAACTAAATTATGTTCCTAAAGATAAAACTGTAAAATACTTTGCAAGTGGCAAATATCAAAAGACAGACAAATTTTATAAATCTAAACATATAATCGTGACATGGATGGGGAAAACACCTGATTTCTTGTTATTTTTCTTCATAAAATTGATTGAAAAGAAAAACAATGCATTTGACAGGGCCATGCCTCAGTGCCATATGCAATTCTGATCCTTAATAGGGTGTTACAGCCAAGCCTTTATGATAGATCATCTCAACTACCCACACATCCTAATCCCTGAAATATGTGCTAAAAATCCTCCAAAATACAGTTTTCTCCTTTCATCAGTATAAATATAAGGTTGAAAAGAGAATAATTTTGGTATGAATTTTACTAACATCACAGCAAAATTCTAGGACAAATGTGCTTTGAATAACAAATTAACCGTCTAGACGGAGGTTTCATGGGCAATATGCTTCAGAAGAAAAATTAAATTACAAATAAAAATGGGGACACATTTCAAGAAAAATAAACTGATTTTAATGACTGTTCCTCCTCTATTTTATGGGTTTTAAGATTACAAAACATCCTACTAAATTACTGAATTATAACCACACTGATGCTGAGAGTGCTTGGTGTTTCTTTCCAGCACCTTGAGGGCAGGAACCTGTTCTACACGTGTTATCTCACTAGTACTTGCCACGGCAGGGTATGCAAAGCGGGTCCTCACTAAGCCTATGGCATTATATTGTTTTCATTGGAAGAACACAGGAAAGACAAATGCATTTACTTACTTTTGCTCTTCATTTGAACCCCAGCTGTTTCCCTTGTCCCTCTGTTGTCATTGCAGACTTAACGTTTGAAGTCCTAATATTTGTTCTGATATGCAAATATCTATATTTTCACATGCACCTAACTGCCATACAATTTGATGATGCTTGTTTTCAAAAATTTTCCTGAATCTTAAGAAAGAGCAATGAATAACAACTTACCACTTGTGAAGAGAAGTTTTCTAGGATCCTGAAAAAAGATGGAAAAGAATAATTGACTGAAAGATAAAACATTGATAATATAAAATTCTACAAGGAATCTGGCTGGGTATAAGATCCATGTATTAGGCATTTAAAATACTATTCTCCCAGTGGAAATAAGACTCAACTTTCCCAATGGTTTCATGACGCTAAAGGAGATTATAACAAGTGCAAATCCAACTAGAAAAGTCTATCCATCTGAGAAAGGAGGAGCACTGGATGAAGAGTCAGAGGGCATAGGCTTTCGTCTTATTGGCTAATTAAAAGCTACTAGCAGCGGCCTGAAGCCCACCCTTCGACCAAATTGAAACTCAATATTTTTGGTTCTAATGTGCAAACACCACAATGACCAAACTACACCTACAATGTGTCAAGACAGTGAGAATCAAAAGTGATAAAACATATAGGAAGGGTTGTACACTGCAAATTCAGTGCAAAGAATACTAATTAAGAACTTATGTTTCAAATATTGTGAAAAGTAGTGATGATAAATAAGGAAGAGAGGTTCCTGTTACTCAAATATAAAACATTAATATTGTTAGTGTCTTCTTTAAACTACATCTCTCATGGAGTAATGAACCTTAGTCAACTGCTTTTCTGTCTCGTGGAAACTTAACTTAATCCCCAGTAAATTTGCGGATTTATTTTTCATCCTAATGGTGCTTAATACTGCTCAACTTTTAAATGCCTTTCCTATGCCTCCATTGAATCTGGGATCGGGCCAGGTATATAAAAAGTAGGAAGCCTTTGTACAATACAGTTTCAGGGGCCTTGAAGAAGGACCACTGGCTTAGGGACAGCACCTCATCCGGCTTAGGTCAAATGACTTCTGTACCTGGTTAAAGGGTAACGTAGAGTAACCTAATAGATGAACAACTACTAAAAATAGAGGACGAGATGATCGAAGTGGAATAAACAGCTATGGAATCTCGGAAGGGAGAACAACGAATACTGCCACAGAATAAAGATAGAATGTGAGAGCAAGAGACAGTTTCGCAGTTGAGAAGATGAGGCAGATTCAACGAGGCCATCAGGAAGGTGCCACCTTCACAAGTTGGAGGATGGGTCACTGAAGAACGGAGGAGGCAGGGTGAAAGCACAAAGCGATAACAGCAAGGCGCAGGGCACAGGCCCCTCTTTTGCACAGACAGTTCACAGGGAATATATCTGTATCTGCATGCAATGTGTGTGTGTATTTTTTCATCTTTATCTAGCACATTGCCAGTACCTACAAGGTGCACAAAAATATTTATTAGAAGAAAGAGGAAAGGGAGAAAGGAAGGAAGGGACTAAAGAAAGGGGAAACATTAATTAAAATTACGGGTTACCATTTTTATCCATCAGATTGGCAAAAAATGTTTTTAAAAGTGAGGTGTAGAAAAAAGCATTCTGATAAACTTGGGAGAACTGTGTCCACTGGTGACGACTTTTTGAAAGGAAACCTGACAATGTCCATCAGATCTAAAAATGAGCATACCTTTGAAACCAGAATTCCACTTCGATGAATCTGCCTAGCAGTCATGCACAAAAAAATGAATTTATTGGCGAGTGGGTCGTAACGAAAACTAGGAATCAACCTAAACATCTGTGAATAAAGAAAAGGCTAAGAAGAAATTATAGCCTCTTACTACGAAGGGAATAAGATATATTCACACATTCTGATACAGCAGGCCATTTACAGAAACAAGTAAGCTGCTGAGGAATATGTATCATAAATTACCGCTTAAAATACCTTAAGAGAAAACATGAAAGTATTAGCTGTGGCTATTTTTGGAGGAGAAGCTTTTGCTTTTCATGTACTTGGGAGTTTTAAACTATTTTATACTGAGCATATATCCCCCTTAAAATAAAAAAAATGACTAAAAGTATTGAAATATTAAGCAAAAGTATCTTACATTAAAATAATCTAAGCATTATAGTTATTCAAGACATGAATTAGAAAACAAAAGAGAGAGGTCAAGAAGGAAAGGCTGAAGCAGGAAACTGCAGCAGAGGCCAGAGGCATGGACGGAAGCGGTGTGCTACGCGGGGACGTGGCGACTGGTCCAAAATCACTGCGTGAGCAGAGCTGCCACTGGCTGGCTAAGAAGCTGGGCTTGCCGGTGGTTCTTAAAGCCAGGTGCACACTACAGTCACCCGGGGAGCTCTTTAAAAATAACAATGCCTGACCCCAATCCAGATCAGTTAAATCATCCTGGTGTTTTTAAAAACACGAGCATAATCAAAGCATGTATCAAAAGTTGCTTGCTATTTGGGTTTGGGAATTTGCCTCTGTGTTTGTTGTTACTTTTTTAGTATTAATCTAGATAGGTCTGGGGATACGTGGAGAAGAAAATGGAGTGGGAGGAGATGGGAAATAATCTTACGAAGTCACAACCCGACTTAGCAGAGCAGGCAAGGTTCTGATCAAACGGGAAACAGAGCAGTGGGGGTTTTTGTTTGTTTTAAGTTTATTTTTATTGTTGACACTATTACAGATGTCCCCTACTCCCCCCCACACACTTCTGCCGTCATCCAGCCCCCACCCCCTCCCAGGCCTTCACCACACTATTGCCTGCGTCCGTGAGCTATGCATATACGCACCTAAATTGTTTGGCTAATCTCTCCAGCCCTCCCACCCCACTCCCCTCTGAGGCCTGTCAGTCTGTTCCATGCATCCACGCCTCTGGACCTATTTGGTTTGTCAGTTTATTTTGTTCGTTAGATTCCTCCAAACTATATAAAGAACTCATACAACTGAGCAGCGGGGTTTTAATGCAGCCTCGGCCTGAAGCAAGGGCAGCCTGAGGACAGGGGGAAGGTACAGGGATTCAACCAGGGCTGCGCCCGTGCTGCTCATCAGGCGCCGGCCTGGCACCTCACACACGTCATTTCGTTTCATGGGCAGCCACACAGGGAGCAACGCGCCCCTGCGTCAGACGTTGCCTGCCACAGAATTCAGCTCAAGGTCGCCTATTTTGAGGGTGAAAACACAAACGAATCACTAAAACTCAGTAATATTTTTTAGGTCAAATAAACTGATTATCGAGGATCCTCAAATGACCAACCTGCTTTTCTGCCCCGTTTCCCGCAAGCACAGTGTCTGAGTTATTCAAGGATTTTTCCCCTGGAATGGGGCTGTTGACAGTCTCCACCGCATGACAGGAATTAGACAGAAGCTGTCGGGAGGCAGAAGGCAAGCCTGAGTGGCAACCGTGTGCACACTGCACAGCATAAAACGTAGACACTCTCTGAACTCCCATTTTCAGCAAGAGAGACTGTGAAATAGTAATTACCTATATCTCCAATTTAAAAGGAATAAACTCAGCTTGACAAACTGCATTTAAGAGCACTCAAAAGAAGCAGCAAGGTAGACATTTTCTGTGAAAATCACGGACCCTCATTAGTCATCTCACGACTAGTGAAAGAAAAATGAGGAGACGGACACCACCCACCTCGTCGCGGTATCTTGCTACGTTCAGTTCAGTGAAATCCTCACGGTAGTTCTCGGAGAAACTGAGGACATTCACCAGATGGGCAGCCACGTGCACACCTATAGAACCCACCAGGCGCAAGTCAGTGGGTTTTCAGGTATGTTCTACAAAGAGGAGTCAGTTCCTCTCTCTAAGTAAGTACAGGGTCAAACTTTGACAGCTACATGAGCAATAAAATACCACATTTAAAAGGGGAGTTTTAAAGACACAAACAGTCTTGACTATAGGCAGTTTCAGTATTAAAAATCATGTGAAAAAACTGAATTTTCAAAGGCTAGAATAAAATAACCCTAGGAAGTCGAGGTTAAAAAAATACACCTGTACACATGCACACACACTTACACAAGCGAGTAATATAATAATAAGAGCATTTACTTATTTCTTTAAGCAGCTCCTGGATATTTTAGAGGTTCCACTCTTTCACATTTCCCCTAACTCCAAACCTGTTATCCATCTTGTATACTTCACTGCCACTCAACGTAAAATAAAGGCTCTCTGAGAACCTTATAACCAGTGGAAATTATTCACAATCTACAAATTCAAATCATAATGTCTTAACCCAATAGCAAAAGTGTTGGTAACCACTTCATGGGGCAAACACTCAGGAAAATAATAATTACCATTTAATTATCTACAATGGCACACTAAAGAGTGCTCAACTGACTCGGAGCTCATACAAAATATAAAAAGTGCTAGGAGACCACTAAAGAGTTGAAGACATTTGTTTTGACATGCCAGGGAAAAAAGAAAGTTATACTGAAGAGGTCGGACAAGGAAGGAGTAATGACCTTGTGTATTGGACTACAATGCCCTCCTCCCTTTCCAACCTTCTCCTGTATGTGAAATGCAGTTTGAATTAACAGCACATTATACTGTACGGGAAAGAACATCAGAAAATTAGTTGGGAACCTGTCTTCTTGGCTATTGTACTGCTTGCCTACCAGCACCTCAAGTTACTTCTCTATAAAATGACAGAAATAGGCCCTGGCCGAGTGGCTCCGTCCGCTGGAGCATCGTCCTGTGCACCAAAAGGTTGCAGGTTCTATTCTCGGTCAGGGTTCATACCCAGGCTGCAGGGTTGACCCAGGTGGGGGCATACAGGAGGCAGCCAATGGATGTCTCTCTCTCACATCATTAGTTCTCTCTCCCCCCTTCCTTTCGTCTCTCTCTAAAAATCAATAAAACATACCCTGGGGGTAGGATTATAAAAAAAGAAAAAAATGACAGAAATAAGAGACTTAATGAAATAAGTAACCCTAAACTGCTTAATACACCATTATAGTTTACACAAATACATGGAGGTAGTGGTTCAAAAGAAAACAGAGCCTAGAAACTAGAAAACTCTACAATTCCCTCAAAACCAGCATATGAGATACAAGTAGGCCAAGAGTTCTGAGTTACTCACGAAGACAAATCAAAATGAGAGAGAAGGACTGAAATACTAACTACCTAATAATTATTTAAAGGATTTACAAGCTCCTGCCAGTAATCAAGATAGAGGAGGGAAGAGGGTCTCATAAAAAAAGTGAACAGGGAACTAGAAGTGAGATAATTAACAAGCAATGACAAGGTTTCAAAGAAATAAAAGATATCTAGGTGAGGCTCAACTTTGGCACAGGTATAAAACATTATTTAAGCAAAATGATCTCTTATAGCTCATCACTTCAGAAATTAATAGTAAAAAAAAATAAATCCCTTTATTTTAAATTAAAGATTTATATGTTAAATACATACTTTGTGTCTCAAAAATGTAAAGGCTTCCTTAGAGGAATTGCCACTCTTTCTGAATTATCCTGAATAAAAGTTCTAGGCAATAGCTATATCTTAAGGGGTACATTCACCTCCTTTAAAAGGCCTTTTAGGTCACCCGGCTGGCATGGCTCAGTGGTTGTGTGTTGACCCATGAACCAGGAGATCAGGGTTCGATTCCCTGTCAGGGCACCTGCCTAGGTTTTCGGCTCGATCCCCAGTAGGGGGTGTGCAGGAGGCAGCCAATCAATGATTTTTATCATTGATGTTTCTATCTCTCTCTCCCTTTCCCTCCCTTTTCTCTGAGATCAATAAATATATATATATTTAAAAATAAAAATAATAAAAGGCCTTTAAGGTCAAAAGAATGCAGGGCTTCTTGTTTTAGGCAGCAGGCAGAAAGCTATGCCGGGCACTTTGTATGGATTCTCTCATCTAATTCTCACAATAAAACGAGGAGGTAGGTAGAATCATCCCTTTTTTACAGACAGGAAAGCTAAGGTTAGAAGGGTAACTTAGCTAAGGTCAGGCCGCTAGCCAGTGGCAGAATGCAGTCCTTCTGGAAAACATGCTCATTCGTGGCTATACTCTACACTCTCAGTCTCCTGGTCGTTCTCCAACTGGCACAAGGACAGTTTAGAACAAATCAGGCTATGAATGTGCCAGTGTCTCATGATCCCCTCCCTAGTTCTAATCCATCCTAACCCTTATCACTCCCTTGGCCCCCATCTCTTCCTGGGCTCTCACTCCACGCCCGGACTCGAGCTGTATTGGAGTTATCATCCCATCCCTGAGCCCCTCTCCATCTCTCCCCTCCACCTCCATAGGTGGCAACTACCAATGGGAAGACAGATGTTCAGGCATAAAACAATAAAGAAATACTTGGCAAGTATTAAAAAGCTTAAAATTTAATGATTTCTTGGTAATAGCTGTATCAAAACACTACTGATTAAAAATGGCCATACATAAATATCCAGATCAAAGGTTCCTAGCATCAAAACAGCTCTGTCCTACAAATAACCAGATGAAAATGTCAGGGGCTATGCCACTGAGATAATTAATCCCTGAGATTGTAAATTATAATAACAAATTCTACCCTAAGAACTTCATATGCATGTCCTCATTTGCATGTCACACAGTAAGACAGAAGGGCAGCTGGGGATAAATCCCATATAATCCATCTCCAGAGTCCATACACTTGATTCATATATTTATTACCTTCTGTTCCAAAAAATTCTTAAGTATTTTGTAAATACTCGGGATAAAAATTTTATTTTAAAATTACTCTTAAAAACCAAAAGTCTCTCACTTTTTACTTTAACTTGGAATTGAGCAGGGTACATTTTCACAATATGCTCCTCTAGCCAAGTATTATTTTCAAAGAAACATTTATCAATTATAATTTCAGGTGGTATCATATTCAATGAATGTACAGTCTGCAATCTAATTGTGATACACTTAAACTCCTATCACGTCAATACATTTAGAGCTTAAAAACTTTTACTCTGCTTCTTCCAGTCTTTTTAAGTGAAATTATTTACTTTTAGGAAACACTCCTTACCCACTTGGAGGCCAACCTCTACTATATATATGTGGCATAAGACACACCTATTTTCTGTAGCACCATTAGACAACTCTCTAAAAACATGGAAGAGAAAATTGAGCTGTGTAAGAAAATCACAAGTTGGTGACAGTAAATAATTTATAGAATAATAAAAATACCACTTATAAAATATTCTAACACTTAACATCTTTTCATTTTCTCACCTGAGAAAATACAGATGGTAACACCACAGATTATATGGAATGTTCTGCTTTTATCCAACAATCTTCTGGTTCTCCTGCTTGGAACCTAAATAAAAACCATTTAATATTGTAAAAATGATGCAGTAAATAACATATATGTACAGAGTTTTTCACTACAGCATTTTTTATAATACCAATGTTTTAGAAATATGACAGAAGCCTATCAATTAAGAATTAGTGAGATGAATTATAATATATCTAATCAAGAGTACACTCAAACCATTAAACAGAATGTGAGAAGACTTATTATTGATATGGAGAAATGTGCAAGATATATGGTTAGGTAAAAGAATTATAAAACATAAATCCTATATTGTTTAAAATTAGTGGCATTATATGTTAACAGATCTGTAGGCATTTCCCCCAAATTGTAATCAGCTGTTGTTCTTGTGGAACATTAGGGGAAACCTTCACTGATTACTTCGTGTATTCTGGAATGTTCGAGTTTCACTATATATATGTGTGTGTATATATATATATATATACACACACATATATATATGATTTCCTTTTGCAGTAAAAGAAAAAAAGATTGTTTTTAAATAAAGCAATTTCATTTTTTATTTTAAATGCCTGTTTGATCTTAAGAAAAATAAAATGTCAAGCATCATTGAACACCTATGTTTCACACTAGGGGACAATGCTTTAAGATGTATGAAATCCTGAGAGACTTAGATGGGCACTTTTCCTACCATTTATCTTCTCTTTCTTCCTGCCAAGCCAATGGCCAGCCACAGAGATCAAAACCTATCATTTTACAATGGTAGGCAACCAAGAGTTATTTCCACAAATTGCCACATTAAAAGTAAAGAGTTTCCAAATATAATTATATGAAAAGATTGAGAAGCTTTACAGTAGTAAATCCCATCATAGAAACTTCACAGGACATCAAAGTAACCTCACATTAACAGCTCCTTTTAAAATAATCAGTATCTATCCAGCAGTGCCTTACCATCTTAGTGAAAAAAGAAATAACCACAGCATACACACACACACACACACACACACACACACCAGGATAATACAAAAGAATTTCAGTTGAGTTTTAACTTTCAAATTGCTTTTCTGTTTCCTTAAATCCTTCATTTTACAACACTAAATATCCACACATGACATCACTATATAATCAAGACGTCTTTTCTATGCCTATTGCATGACTCAAAACAAGTGTGTGTTTTAAGAGATGAACTGCCACCGACACTAGCAGTCATTCTATGTATTGCTCAAAAGCCACAGGGCTTGAGTTTGCTCACCTGAATTTAACTAAATGAAAAACATTTACCAGCGAGAAATGGTACAGTGGGAAGAGCTCAGAACTGGGACTGATCCTAGCTCTGCCTTTCAGTAGCCTCATGATCTTCAAGTTACTTAAACCCTCTACGCCTCAGGTTTTTCTTCTGCAATACCTGATTGCAGAATCACTGTAAGGATTCACAATTACATATGCGAAGTGCTTAGCACGGTGCTTGATGCCACTATTAGCAACTTTTCCTATGATCCTCTGCCTTTAGCATTGTTATCTAGAAGAGCTCGCTGATCATCTTGACAGGTGACATGGTCTTTCCTGTCATTTTTGAAGCAATCACTCTAGCAGAAAAATCAGACCATGAAACTATGTAGGACTAATCAGCTACTGTTGTACTTGATTTTTAGGCTGCGATCTGTGACTAGAATTTTATTTTTCTTACCTTCTGGGATCCTCGAAGGTAAGCCAGGAGTGTCCGGCACATGGGTAAGAGGATAAGGCTGCAGTTGAGGTTAAGAACAGATGCGGAGGCTCTGCTTAGACACAATCCTAGCTGAACAAATAAGGCAAAGGTCAAGACACAGCCCAGGACAAAGTAGACTGCAAACATGCTGCAGGCCTCACCTGCTCCCCGTAAGGATCACGGTCAACACCAGCTCCTTGAAGAGTCTTGAATCACCTTCCACTTCCCTCTCACCAAGGACCCCTAACAGAGACCGGTCTCTTTCTAGTCTCCTCTCGTTTCTACTGCTGTTAGAATAACCTGAGTACATTCTTCCAGCACGGGGTCAATGTCTTGTTCCGCCCACCATGCTGTTCCAGGTATCAAGAGCCCTAGAGAGCCTCAGTATATCCTGCACTTCCACCCTGGTGCAGCGCTGAATCCTTTGCTCATTGATAAGGTACAGAGAATGTCAACAAAGCTTTGTATTTGTGTTCTCTCTGTATATTTAAAAGGTTTTTTTTCAATTGCAGTTGACATTCTCTCTCTAGAACACTCTGTGCCTCCACACAGCTCCCTTCGGCACCACCAAATGTCTTCAAAGTTCTTCACCTTAAGCACAGCTCTAGAGTTCGACCCTGACCCAAAATCAGGAGAAGTCCCAGATCAGCTGTGTCTTATACAAAGTTAATCAAAACCACATTGCACAACATATTTAAAAATAAAAATCAGTCCCCTTCAGTATTGATGCAATACTCTTTGACAACTAATTTTTATCAAACTCCTGCTAGATTGTCATCTGCTGTTGTCTGGTACTAACCACATTGTTCACATGAAGACAGCAGATGGGGTCATGTCTGTACACTTGTCCTGAAATAAACATAAAACTACTATTTTAAGCATATTGGTTAAGAAATATGTGTAAGCCAGATGTTTTTCTTATCTTGAAATGGTTCGTGCCCCTGAGATTCCCAACTTAACTCTTGGAAAAATAGCAATTCTGTTACATATTATTTATTGTCAGCATATGAAGTATTGTTCCTGAAGGGGAGACAAGGTAATAAGTAGTGTCAGGAAAGCAATAATTTCCATTGGCTTATATAAAAATTCCCAGTTAGGCTATTTCTACACCATGAGTTAGAACACCTTAGGGAGACAGCTCATTGCATGTACCAATAACTGGACAAACAAAATCTCTGGGCTATCTTAAAAAATGTTAAGTATAATTTTCACACCTCAATCAGCAAAATTATTACCCTTTGAAAGTGGTAGGTTTTTGTTGTTTAGGCCTCCAGAGAAATAGAATAATTTTTATCTCTTTTGACCTGGCATCTGTATATAATAAAATTTTAGCTCATACTTTAGATAATATTTTTACCTAAAACATAAATGTACCAGGATAATAATTCACTTAAAATACATCAGCTAAAACCTGTCATATTAAATTTATCACTTAAGATATACCAGTATCCAAATTTCCTTTTTGGTTCAGTGCTTTAAAGAAAATTCTTATACTTCATTTTCTAATTATTTGTGTGTGTGTGTGTAAGTGCTTTATTGTTGTGTTTACATTAAATCACTCAGTAACGTCATTCAAAGTGGCTTTAAGTGTCCCCTTGGGATAGAGTTTATTTCGGCTTTCCACTTCTTCCTTCAGATGCTGCAAAATCTAACCGGAAGTTTTACCACGAACTCATTTCCTCACATATGTTTGTTCCTGAATATATTTAGTTCTTTAAACTAAGATGAAAGCTTTTATTATGTTATCAGAGTACAAATTCCCTCCTTCAGAAGTGGTGCCGAAAGTGAGGTGCATTGAGACAGATCCAGGGGAGAGGCACAGTCACCTACTTGCTACGTGGGGAACCCTCTCCAGACGGCAGCAGCTGCTCTACTCGGCCGTTATTCAGCCCTGGCCTCCTTAGTAAGAAGCTGCCGCAAACGTTCTCTAGAAAGAAATGACGGCCTTAAGTTAGGTGCCCTGCCACCCTGTGAGGAACTTGTCCCCCCATTCCCAGGGATCTTAACCGGCTAGTTCTCGCATGTCATTCCGGTTAGCTGTCACTAGGTGGCAGTGTTACTGTCACGTTGAAATCCTACCTGTCAAGGTCTCTAAGACAGAATGAAGAATTTCATATGTACTTCTTAAAACTGTAAATATATTTTGGATAGATAGACACTAATAAAACATAGCTTAGTTCTTGCTCTAGGCAGAATGTTTGTGTCCCCCCAAAATTCATATGTTGAAACCTAACGCGAAGCACAGCCTTTGGGAGGCAGTGAGGTTTAGATAAGATCGTGAAGGTAGTGCCCATGTCATGATTAAAGGAGGAAGAGACCAGAGCTCGCCTGTTCTCCAGGTGAGGATTCAGCAAGAAGATGGCTACCTGCAAACCAGGAAAAGAGCCCTCACCCCACAGTGAATCTGCTGGGACCTCGATCATCAACTTCCCAGCCTCCAGAACCCTGAAAAATTAATGTTTGCTGTTTAAGCCACTCAGCCTGTGGTACTTTGTTCTAGCAGCCCAAACTAAGGCAGTCCTACGGACAATTCTAGGAAAATCTGCCATATGAAGCAAGTGATAAGAGAATATAGCATCTCGGTATATCAAGTGGATGGTTATTTTCCTAAAATCTCAATTTCATGGCTTTTATCTTAAATCTTCCACTTCATAACTATGAGTCTTGATCTTGTTAACTGTCCTATTCTGTAAAGTTGAGTGTAAAATGTCTTTATCTGTAAAATTAATATAACATATAATAGCTATGAGGACTTCTGTGAAAAAAGTTTTTAAAAATGCAAGCATTATATAAAATGAACTTATTGCCTTAGGGTCACTGTATCCCATCCTTTCTCTAAATGTTCTCTTTGGTATTTTAGAGCAAGTGTTCCACTTACATTACTCATTCAACACACTTAGTGTCATATGCACATATTGCAAGGCACCAGGAGTTCAACAGTGAATGCCTTTTACCTTAGGATGCTTATATTTTAGCAGGGGAAGCAGACATTGAATCAAACAGTTACATAATCAAATGTAAATGATAACAGTGATCAGTGCTGTGAATGAGAAATACCAAATATGAGCATGTGTGACAGGACATGAGGTCTCAGTAGGAAGGTCAGAAACACTTCCTCGCTTAAGTTAATAATGAACTGAGGCCTGGAGGGTGACAGCAGGCGTCATCTAGGAATGAGAAGGCCATCCATGCAGAAAAAATCAGCATGACAACTGATGTGTGGCAAATGGGAGCATGGGGTGCATTTGAGAAACGACTAGCAGGCCAACGTGGCTGGATCGGATGCGGAGGGCGATATAACATAAAACTGGAAAAGCAGGTAGTGTAGACCTTGCTGGGCTTTGTAGGTCACATGAAGAAATGGGTACATTTATCCTAAAATCAATGCAGCGTGGCCGTGTTTTAAGCAGGGAGCTTGGTATGAAGAGATCCGTATTTGATAATGATTACTCTATTAAGTGTGGAGAACAAATTGGAAGTAATTTGGGCAATTACGTTATTTTGTGTAATCATCACAAAATCGAAATTTTGTTTGAGACACGGACTACATTTTACGGCAATTATATCTGAGTCTTCTATAAAAAAGGTATTCAGTTTTGACTAAATATTTTGCTAAATAGTTCACTAAAACATATTTGTAAAATGGAGAATTAAAACAGCCTAACCCACATCCCACCATCCACCCAGTGTCTACCCACAACCCTGACCAAAGGCTGAATTTTCCCAGAGACAGCAGCTGATACCACCGTGAAAGCTGCTCTTTTGTTTTCTTATGCCTACATGAAACCTGTCTGTAACTTCCCGCTAGGCTACTCTGGATATTACTAAAGCAGACATTCAAACGCTGAAGATAAAAGGAGAAGGATTTCCTAGCCTAATTTTGTTTTCTTCATGCTAAACACAACTAGCTGCCTATAAAATTCTGGATATAATTTTAAGACTCCCCCATCCTCTCAGTGGCCTTTCCCAATGCACCAGAATTCACCACATCGTCTACACAGACTAACTACAGAGCGGTCTAAAGATCATCACTCCCTCGCTAAGGACATGATCGGCTTGTTCTGTCTGTTACACTGTGGGGTGACTGGGTCACACAATGGCTCATCTGGGGTTTACAACATACAGACTTTCTCACATGAAATGTTCTTAAGCAATAAGCCCCTCTATCCTATAGAAAAGGAAACAGGAGCTGTGAGAGCGCAGGTACGTGAATGCAAGAATGTATTGGCTTTAGCACATTATATCGGGTGTGAACCCTATATTCTGATGTTTTTCCTTATTAATTTGCCTTAGCTGAAATTTTACATTCATATTTTCTACATCTTCACCCAAGTTCTTGACAAAGCTATTAAAATGTAACAAAATCCTATTGAAATAGTTTACTCTAGAGGGAACTTGCAAACTACCTTTTCTGGTAAATTAACTTTGAAACAAACATTTTTCTTTCAACTGGGCATTTTCTCAACAATTTGGGGAAAATATAACATGACATTCTACATGTAAATATCTATATATAACTATATATAGGTATGAAAAGGCAAGAGAAGTATTAATAGTAAGTTTTACTAATTGGTCATTTTTCTAGGTACTGCTTGGTAAGTCAACAATTAGTCAATTCCAGGAAAAAAATAAGAATAAAAATTACCATAGAGGTTTGTTTATAAAGTTTTTTTTATATTCTGATTTGGTATTTTGTGTTTGTCTAAAATTATGTAAATTTGTACTCATTCAGGCCAATTTTTTAGACTCTTTTCCCCCAAGAAAATATTTTTAATCAAACCAAATGAAGCCTACATACTACCTAATTCTTGCCTGGTTTACGATCACAGAACTGTAACTCTTTCATGAGGCCTTACAAGTCACCAACCTCCTTTTTGCCTCCGCATACACCACTAGCTTGTATAGAAGTAAGGACTAGAACCCAGGCCTCTCTCCAAGCTCTCTCATGTCCCTAAAAGCACTTCACTCCCCAGAACAGAGATGTGAATTCAGACACCTTGTCTAGGGTTCTTTCCAAACCATATACTTTCTTACTCTTTCAGTTGCTTATACTTTTACCCAACCAGCACCTTTCCCTGTCATTTTGGGTA